ATCAGTACAAAAAATTTCACCGATATGGCGGTTTTTAAACAGCCCCCATCCCCCCCCCCCAAAAAAAATACTATTAAAAAATTTAAAAAACGAGTAAAAATTTAAACACACAGCCCTCCCGCCTCTGAAAATTTGTGAGAGTGTGACGCTAACCAAGTATTTTTTTTATTTGGTATTTTTTTTATTTGGTCTGAGTTGTGGAACAGTGGAAATGCCGGTGTTGCAGTACTTTTTCAAGCAAGGAATAATTACTTCAATGAAGTGAGATTCCCTAAATCTTGATATTTACCCATAAACCGTGTATTGATATCACCGTAGTACAGTTATACATGAACTTGTGGTTAGAGTTCGACAGCTGGACTCTGTAGCTCAGATGGTTAGAGCGCTGCACCGGAATCGCAGGGTCGCAGGTTCGACTCCTGTCAGGGACCTTTTTTGTGGACCGTTTGTTGACTTTCCTGGTTTATAGGTCTGTTAAATGTGTATAGAATTTCCACTCGATAATTTCCATCTCAAAAAAGGAAGCGTGACCGGTCCCTTTGTAACTCGTGCAAATTGCAAAATGTCCATTTTTGGTGAATAATTAACATAATTAGCGGAAGCAACACCCTTTGGGGATAAATAATTACCCATTATCGGATTACAACTTGTGATTTGAGACATTTGTGAATGCACTTTATATTTTCGCTAGTTGTAAAGTTTTGCCAGCGCATTCGGGCAATAGGAAAAACAGTATAGAACTTCTCACTTAAAAGCGTTAATAAACATGAGCGAAACGGAAGAATTGGCGAAGAAATTAGCAAGACGAAACCAGATCAACGAGGGCGAAGATGTTCCTCGCAAACAATTGGAGGTTTTCAATCCATATACTGAATTCAAAGAGTTCTCCCGCAAGCAGATTAAAGATTTCGAAAAGATGTTTAAAACGTGAGTATAGATTGATTATAAGCTATTCTGTTAAATTTATAGCTTTTTACTGATACTTCAATGATTTTAATCCTTGTGTATTAATAATATAATGACTCTGTTATGATGTTATCTGCATGATATATGTGGCATTTTTGATATGCAATTTGGTTTTCATATATTTGACACACAGACAGACAAATTATGTCATTTAAAGCCAAATCTGATATTGTGTTTGAGCTATTTTGTGCTTATTAACTTGAAACTGTCTTTGTAATGCGATATTTTTAGTTGTATTTACGGGTTTTTGTTGGAAACATTTACTATGATCATGTGTTTATTAAATTTAGTCCAGATTCATGGCTGGGCATTTTGTAAACACGGAAGCGGGGTTGGAGTCGAGTGATCGCGCAAAAACATTGCTTTATTCCTGCCAAAAACTTGCCCATCTTCGAGTTTTGCTTCGAATTGTATTAAAGTGATTTGATATGGTGTTATTGAAAATGTGTGAATGTTAATAGTTTAATAAGTAACAGAGTGGTTTTTATTTCAAAAATGTGGTGGAACTGGAAGTCATAGCATAACTTCCTGTTAAAAATACCATCTAGGGACTTCCTTGAGCACAGGCAATTTCCTGGTAGAAATTCTCTCAGACGGGGGCTTTTCTCTTCGATAGCTGTACTGTTTATTGGTCTAGTGTTAATACAGGAGGAATCTGGAATTTACCTGGAGAAACCTAGCGTGTTTGATACTCGAATTGGAAGCACTCGTCGCACATGAAACCATTGAAGGTTTAAGGAAACTTGATGCAGACATAATAGACTTTGTTATCTATGTTTTTGTTATTGGTTGGTTGGGCAAAAAAACAATACTTGAATGATGAACTGACCATATTTTGCATAAACCAAGAGTCGAGACAAAAACATAGATAATGAGGTCTATAATATGTCTGCATCAAGGTGAAATTTTAATCAAACAACCTGCATATTGATGGTTCAGTGAGGTTATAGGGTAGTAAATGTTGATACTTTTAGAAGCAAGCAAGTTAAATTAATTAAATAAATCTCTCTGTTACTGACTAGTGGTAGAAATTAGTGTTTGCATGTTTTTCACCAAGAATACATGGTGTGGACTATCCTATTCCTGTGTTGAAATGCTGCAAGAATAATGTTTAAGTTGATACATTGCTTGTGTGCTTAACCCATTTTGTTGCTTTGCACCCCAGTGTGTCACACCTACATTGTTAGTTTACTCTGTACCACTGGTGATTTTACTCCTCAAGGAGAGAGCACTTGTGTGCTCAAAGGGTTAATCTGCCATATCCCAATATGCACAGTACTTTATTATTTTACTCTGTCTAACACCAGACAATTTTACTACTAATTGTCAAGGGGAGAGCACTGGCACTCAAAATTGGGTTAAAATTAAATATACTTTGGAATTTATGTTCTTCTCAGCTGGTAACTGAACATATAGCTCATTAAATATGCAGGTTCACAGGTAAACTGCACACAAACCAAACTGTGCATAGTGTTTAATAGGCTGTTTTCAATGAGATCTTGGCAGTGCAAAAGTTGCAAATCTTGAGGCAAGTTCATGCCGAAATTACTTTACAGTTTACATGAGTATTCTGAGTTCTGAAATATACTAATAGTTAGAGGTAATTGAATCAAGAGCTTAATACGGCATTAATAAGGACAAGGCTGATTATTTCACTGTATGTTTAGATATGATGTGAACAATGATAAATTTTTGGACTTGATGGAAATGAAACTGATGATGGAGAAACTACAAGCACCACAGACTCATGTTGGTTTGAAAAACATGATTGCTGAAATTGATGAAGACAATGATGGACAAGTCAGCTACAGAGAGGTATGAAGATTTGATTATTTGATCATCAGAAATAAACTGAAAGGATTAATCATATTTAGGAGGTACTGATCGAGATGTTCACCCTTATATAGAGGGGTCTGCACTGCCGGTTCTGAAATCCTGCCATCCAGACCGATTTTCACTTTATACACTAGAATACAATATAACGAAGTGTAAAAGTGATAATAAATGCCTCTAAATTGCGACTCTTATGAGAGCCGTAAATCATTCATGTAAATCTGTTTTCTATGATCGGTCAGACTATAATCTGCGGACTGCAGACCGGACTGGGTACAAAATGCAGACTGGGGGTATAAAATGCAGACTGAGGATAAAATGCAGACTGAGGATAAAATGCAGACTGGGGGTGAATTAGGGATATTTTACAAATGCCTGCCCTAGAACACCATCACGTTGAAAATGTAAAATGATAATTTTAGTTTTTCCTTTATCGTACTTACTCTTTGTCGTGGTCATCGATATTAGGCATCAATCTTGAGGAATTACCGCTGACTGAAATTCATATAAGGCGCGAAGCAACACTTGTGGATGAGGGGGGGGGGAGTATGATGGCAGCAGTCCCTAATCATGCTCCTATTCGTAACGCTAATCCTAATGCAATCGGTGGGTATTTCAAAAACACCACTCATTATTCACACATTTTTGAAAGTTCGATCTGCAACAAAAGCAGTTGGCATCCAAAACTGATGAAAGTGACTAGCTTCAAAATTAATATTATCAACAAGAACGATCACAGGACTATGGCTTGGCGGGAATTTTTGAAATATCCCTAATTCACCCCCAGTCTGCATTTTATCCTCAATCTGCATTTTATACCCCCAGTCTGCATTTTGTACCCAGTCCGGTCTGCAGTCTGCAGATTATACTGACCATTTCTATGATCCTTAGAATAGAATGGTATTTCCTGCACTAGAAAGTGACAAGAGGCAAAGATTGAAATGTGTGCATTCTTGGAAATATTTGTTTCTTAGTCTTCTGCCTCTGCTCCCCAAACAATTGTTTTTGGTTTTGGAAGAGTTAAAGAAATATAATCAAAATTAATGCATTGACAATTAAGTTGTATTCCCAGAATCATGTTTCATGTGGCTGCCCAGCTGCATGATGGTCATTACCATCAACAAACTCTTCAATAAGCATTTTTTAAACATTTTTTAGTAGAAATGCAAAAGAGAATACTAAGTCAATGGCTACTTTAAGTTCTAGTCTGCATGAGGAATAAAATAAAATAATCGAACCAAAATCTTTCAAGCTGAATATGAGTGCCGCAAAAGAAACATGCTGATCATATAACTAACAACACTATATTTAGAGAGAACAGTCCATATGCTAACAACCAATTATTTGAAGCTAATGCATATTAATGAAAAGAGATAATTCTCCATTCTAATACCCAGTGTATTAGCATATACCAAGAAGCATGAATTTTCCATGAGCCAATTTATTAACAAAATCATAACAGGACTAATATTGTATTATTAGTTCTTGCTAATATTCCGCAAAGCCGCGGCTGGAGAGCTTATCGAAGGCTCTGGTCTCAGTGAACTGGCAAGATTATCAGAAGTTGATATCAGTGATGTCGGGGTGAAGGGTGCCAAAGATTTCTTTGAAGCAAAAGTTAACGAACTTGCGCAAGGTAAGATATAATCTCAAACTCATTAATAATTCACGAGTAAATTAGCCAACCATACAACCTCGTTCCCAGGCTCTTCCCTCTTGTTGAGGGAACAGCCTGGGAACGAGGTTGCCAACCATATTGCTTTATTTTGCTCACATATGATAATACTGATATTGATACCTGGTTAAGCATATCGATCCAGTCCTAGGACTGGATCAAAATTAATTCACCTCACTTTAATAAGTAGTGATTTACTTCTGTGAGGTGTCATTTCAAATCCTCCAATTCGTACTGGAGTAGATTTCTAGTCCTCACATTTTTACCCAATCCTCGGTTTCACCTCAGACTTGAAATCTAGTCTAGTCCTCATACCTGTAGTCAGATTTGAAATATTTCTTGAGATGTTTGTGATGTTACTCTGAGTGTATATCCACACCGGGCAAGCTTGGAAAATATGCCTGGCCATGATGGGAATCGAACCTACGACCTTTGGAAACTTTGGAACTAGTTAGACTCAGTTCCGAAATATCACATACTCGAACCGACCTGACCGCGTAGTTGGCAGAGCATTTGGGCTGGTACTCCAAAGGTCGTAGGTTCGATTCCCACCGTGGCCAGGCATATTTTTCAAGCTTGCCCGGTGTGGATATACACTCAGAGTAACATCGCAAACATCTATTCACCTGAGTACACAACACCAAAACAGAAAAAAAAATACTTGAGGTATTCCAAGCACATGCTTTTTAACAGGTAACCATGGCCATTACTTTGTTATGACCATTGGGACCAGTCAGGCTTTACAGCTGTTGCAACCATATTGATCTCCGTGACCAAGTACATTAACTTTTTCATTTCATCATAACTACAGGAAACAAGTTTGAAGCAGAGATTCGGGCAGAACAAGAAGAGAATCGAAAAAAGGCTGAAGACGCCAAAATAAGAAAGCAACAATTTAAAGAGAAACAAGCAGCCTTTGGTACTTCATAAAGACGAAGGAAACTAATAACAAAACGTAGAAATATGCTAGCCTAATACACAAAGTATTAATTTTTATATATTATTAACCGAACAGTACTGTCTGTGCCTGTGGAGAGAAATTATTCATTAGCTGATTTCACTAAGCATTATCGTACAGCAAATGGTGATCAAACAGTATTCGTCAGAGTAATGAAATAATTTTAATTTTTTGTATTTTTATAGTTGTACTATTAAACAGAGTCGAGATTTAGTTTATAAATTTGATGTTTGTATATTAAGCGGTTCTTGACTATAAGACGAAGTTGACCACTATTTGTTGTTCTGTAAAGCTTATTAAAACCACAGTTTAAACGCACCAATACATATCGGGTGTAGCACGGAAAAAGTAATCCACAAATAATTTATTATTTTGGTAGTTTTTTGTGCAGAGAATAAAAGAAAGGTTTTGCTATATCGTGCACTTTAAAGAAATTTTAAAAGTTGAAGGGCTTAGTACATAATAAAAACCCATTACCAGCAGACAATTTAATAAAATACAAGAAAAAACATACTCCGAAGAATAACATCTTGTAAACTCAAGATATGAGCTATAACACAAGACAACAATTTTGCGGTGATATTTCGACTCTATATATTTCAAAGTCATTGTCACTGAAACCAGAATGATTTGGTTTGATTCTGGTTTGACAATGACTTTGAAATAGAGTCGAAATATCACCGCAAAATTGTTGTCTTGTGTTATAGCTCATATCTTGAGTTTATACAAGATGTTATTCTTCGGAGTATGTTTTTTCTTGTATTTAGTACATAATTTCAGACGTCTCTTTTAAGAGAGCTCAACAATCATGGTAATTATCCTGCCAATATTACGATGCGTTGCCTTTAGAAATTGTTTTCAGTCAGAATTTGCCAGACGCTTGCCTTTCAAGTTGCGAGACCTCATGGGTTCAACCTTTACCCTTGCCCTTGGTCGGACCTTGACTCAAGGTCTTAAAATAACTGAGGCGAAAGAGCTACCTTTACATGGACAACAGTAAATGGTTAGACTTTCGTGTCTTCTCGGATAAGGATTTTAAATCGTAGATACCTCGGATCCCCTATCAATCGGGCAATAACTTGTTGGGAAATGCGATCACCAATGAGTTATAAACTCGATAAACTGAAACTCAAATACATAATACATAGTTATAATGGACCATTCCCCAATTAATCAAAATTTTGATCTCAACAAGTGTAGACAAAATTCTATCATAGCATGAAAGAGCATCACAAAATTAGTAATATTCCAAAGTTTCGTTGCGAAATGTTGTAAAATGCGGATAATATAGCCTTGCGAAATTTGCAATTTTCAGTCATTTTAGATTACAAATGGGAAATGGTTACCACTTTTCCAAAATTTTGATCTTAACTAGCCTAAACAAAAATTTCATCACAGCTTGAAAGAGCATCACAAAATTAGTAATATTCCAAAGTTTCGTTGCAAAATGTTGTAAAATGCGGATAATATAGCCTTGCGAAGTTTGTAATTTTCAGTCATTTTTTATTACGCACAGAAGTGGTAACCATTTCCCGTTTGTAATCTAAAATGACTGAAAATTGCAAACTTCGCAAGGCTATATTATCCGCATTTTACAACATTTTGCAACGAAACTTTGGAATATTACTAATTTTGTGATGCTCTTTCAAGCTGTGGTGAAATTTTTGTCTAGATCAAAATTTAGTCTATAATGCAAATGGTCCATT